GGACCATAATAGACATTTTTCATTCCAATATTTGCATCTTTTGGATGTTTTTGATGCTGTTGACATTCTTCTTTTGTTACATTTGTTAATTTTATTTTAACCAGTTGATTTTTTAATAATGCTGTAAAACGTGGTGCTACAGGATCAATTTGTTTTTTATTAAATGCCCAAATTTTATCCCAATCCATTAAAACAACAGATTTTGATGAACCTTGTGCTACAATAAATTGTCGTAGACCTTCAACAGTCATACCACGTCGAAGTATACCACGTACAGTTGGTAAACGTGGATCATCCCAACCGTCAACCATATGTGTATTAACAAACCATGTTAATTTTCGTTTTGATAATACTGTATATTGCATATTGAGACGAGCATATTCATAAATAAATGGTTTTCGAAGGCCTATGAAAGAAAGAAAAAAATTATAATTTGAAAAAAACTAAAACATAATCATAATCATATACCAAGAGCATCAAGAATCCAATAATACTGCTCATCTCGATCGTGATATTCAGTTGTTCGAAGAGCATGAGTAACTAAATTTATAAAAATATAATATAAAAAAAATATTTTGAATATTTCTTTTTACCTTCTTCGATACTATCAACAATCGGGCAAGCAAAATCATACGTTGGATAAACTCTTTAAAAAACAAAAGAATAATGAAAAATTTGATTGAGTAATTCATTCTTACTTATATTTATTTCCTGTTCGTACATGTTCTTCTGGTTTACATCGATAAATAGTTGGATCACGCATACAACCATTATTAGAGTTCATATTTATTTTTAAACGAACACAACATTTTTGTCCTTGCTCATTTCCAGCTAACATATCTGACCATAATTTTAAATTCTTTTCTACACTATTATTTCGATTTACCGATTCTTGTCGTTGTTCACGTTGTCGTTTCATTTCCTCGGGTTCGGTATCATCGCAATAGGCTAGGCCCTTTTCAATTAATATTTTACAATAATTAATTAATGTATCAAAATGATCGGATGTATGTGTAAAACGATCATATTCGACACCTAACATTTTTAAATCTTCGAGAATAACCTAAATCAATGACAGCAACAACAAAAAACCGATTAATGAAGAATTAAGAGAAATTTATTTATCTATTTTAAATACCTGTTCAAATTCAGCGGTTTCTTTAGCTGGATTTGTATCATCAAAACGCATAATTAATGTTCCTTTGAAATTTTTTTGATAATATTGATTAAGAAGAGCAGCTTTAGCATGACCAATATGCAAATATCTAATATTTAAAGAAATAATCCAATAAAAAGAAAATTCTTTATGATGAATAAACGACAAACCCGCTTGCTTCTGGTGGAAAACGTACGATAACTTCACCTTCTTTAGCATTTGGTAACTCGACAAATTTACCTTCGTCTTTCATGGTTGGTTTTTGTGAGACACTATTAGTTGATGCACTACTTGCCATGACGGATTCTAAATGAAACTGAAGAGAAGTGAATCAGTATTTATGTCAGGACTCCATTTCTATTGCAATATATTTATGCAAGAGTGGATGATGCAATTTATAATGAGTGTCATCATCGACTTCTCTTTTCATATTAATTTCGAATTTTTCCTTCTAAGAATAAATGGTGAGAAAAACATAGGACAGAATGTGTTTTTTTTTTTATTTTTAGAATCAATTTGAATGGAGGCAGAGTATTTTTTTTCAAATCATCAATACTTCCTCATCGAGAAGCTGTTGTCAGCCTATTATCTATTAGCTGTGTAGTCTGAAGAACAACTATAAAAAATAATAATGAAACGAATCTAAGATGATTGGGATTATTTAAAATAATAGAGAATGAGAGAGAAAGAACAACTAGTTGGGTTATTAGTCAAAAGAGTTCTAAATAGTAGTGAATTACTAAAAATAGATCAATATTAGTTATCCCTACATACAAACCCCACCAATCAAAATGAGCATATGTTAAACTAATTTTGTAGTTATTTAAAATGTGATTAAATATATTTCTGATGAAAACACGTCAGTTTTTGATATTATGATCAAGAAAAATCAGAAGTTTTTATTTATAGATGGCGCCAGATGATTGTCTTCATTTCTGGCTAAAAATCTGCATGAAGTTGCTCATGTGGTTCAAACCATGAAACAATTGTTGATTAACCGAGTGAACACAGATCGTGCAACTATCAACTTTACCACTTGGTTAAACGCCGGTTTTTCGCAGCTATATGTTCTAATATTGTAAGAACTTATTCACCAAACAAATGTACGTCACATTTACATCATTAAAATATCGGTTTCAATCAAGAAATTTTAGGTATATCTTGACGCGTTGGTGTACGAAACAGTTTGAGTCCTCTCTACATCCTTATCCTCAAATATACGGTTGCTCACACCCATATTGGCCACAATTTATTTAGGAAAACAAGACATTGTCAGAAATCGTTATGAGAATGAAGTAGTTTCATTGGTCTTCAGGGAAGAGATCGGTTACATGGTATACTTGCTAACTAAGTCGAGAAGAAACTGGTTGATGAAATCTATTGTTGGTTGAGCATATTCATTGGAATCGCCATGCAAGTTGTACCCTTTGCTGGTCGATTGCATTTATTCTTCTTACAGCACAATAAGTTTTTGTATACAGATGGTACTTGACGCATTTGATCACACGTTTCACTTGCTATCATGTTATAAGCCCATTTTGTCGCTTTTTTCTGTCGTTCTTCGGGTGTACAATCTTGATCATCATCTGCACATAAAAACCTATATTTTGCACATACACATTTTCCTTGATCACCGCATTGTTTCATATCAGGTCCGAGCATGCATTGAGTTTCAGAACCCATATAGCATCGGATAGCATTGGATACGGTAATACAAAGTAGAAAAACCACTGTGATAATACGCATCGTTTGATATGTGCTGTATGCAGAAAATACGACTAGACGAATGATACTGTAAAGAGTTGGCAAAGAAGACGAAAAGAAAGAAAGATGTATAATAATGATGAGAAAAATAAAAGCACGGACTTTGTATCTTCTATAAGTACTATCAATACGACGCTTACTTTGGTTTTGTACTCAGAAAAACGAGGGCAAACGCATTACTCGTTGCTATAAGATTAATATTCTTTCATAGTTTGAAATCAAACAAATGCAACCATTTCAGAATGAAATTTTTCAAAATAACTATGAACTCGCTTACAAAAAAACATGTATTTGTCACTATTGTATCTTAGTTTTTCACAGAGAATTTTTTTCATTTTTCAATACCATGATATAAGTTTGATAAATTTTAGTCTTGAATCGTCTAAAATAGTAAGTGAACACTTTAGCATAAAACATTCGTTAACTAAGATGTCCTTTTTCCTGATACTATTAAGTAAAATGATCTAACTGTATCCCTAGAATATGTCTTTGAAGTTTATTGTTTTTCGATTGCTTGGGCCGTTACTAGTATTCATGATAGGCTAAAGTCATTATACAGTCTTTAATCTTGCAAATACATATATTGTTGACGTTTCTATCTGTCAAATATTCCATGTGCTTACCTGAGTCAGTCGCTATTTAATTAATTTTAAATAACCACACTTATTTAACACAAAAACCAAAATAAACATACTTATAAGATATTGAGTTGAAGTGATGTTGTTGGTGAACTATCATAGTTATAAATGAGTTCGTGTTTTGCGAGACAACTAAGATTCATTGAAACTTCTAGATGTGTGCTATGAAAATAAAAGTATACGATACATTCTAACTATTTCAAAAAGTTACCATTCCAAAGCGCTATTTTTCACTGTCACTGGAACTTCATGTACACGTCTTCATCGTCAACGAAATTCTTTTTGTTCATATTGTACGTTAATATAAAGTAAAATAAATAGATAAAGATGAAAATATGAAAAAAAGAAACATTCTAGTTACTTTATTATATAAAAGTGAGAAATGTTCGATTAATGACATGCAAAATTATTATCTCTTGCTCTTATTACACGACCTAAGAATTACAGAATACCTTATAATTTTTGAAATCCTTTTCCAGTAAACATAAATTATACAGATAAACTATATCTAACAATATTGCAATTTGATACTAATATTAGTATTCCAGAAGGGTGTTATTTTCAACATCGTGCGTCTATTTCTAATCAAGTAGAGTGCTATTTGAATTCTTTTCCCATTTTTAATAAGTTTTGATATTACTGAAATAATATTGGTAAAATCAAATATTTTGATTACCATTTAAAGACAGAGATGATAGTTCTCGTTAATTCTAACGAGTCGTGAATAGTATAGAGAAAATTTTGAAATTTCTTCAAGAGATTTTTAGACAACTTATGACAACATCTAATAAATCTCTATGTGATACTTATAGAATCAGTTTTCAACACTTCTATGCGAATGAAAAATATCCTTTCTGTATATCAAAAAAGTCATTTTATCAATAAATGTAATTTTAAAATCGTATTGATTTACACTATGATCAGTAAATCAGTTTGTTGATGATATTAGTAAAACTCCAGTAAACCGATTGTATCTTTAAAAGCGTGATGATATAGCACGTGTAACAGTTTTAAATTGCAATTGAAATAAAGGCTATCTCATAATTATTTCCTATTAAGTAGAAAGTCTATTGAATTTTCAAAGATCTCTCCGTTTAACACTTGGAGAGAAAAAAAGTCACGAAGAATCCTACCTAATAATTATCAATTTGTCAAGTAATACTAATCATTATATAAGAAACTGCAATGTGTTCATTGTATAGTAATAATTCATTTTTCGAGGATGGACTTGAAATAAGATATCATGACACGAACCTGATAAAAAATGATAACTAGCAAAAAATACCAAGTAAAAAAAAGCTTACGACACTCGGTATTCCCAGGCGGTCACCCATCCAAGTACTAACCGAGCCCGACGTTGCTTAACTTCAGTGATCGGACGAGAACTGGTGTATTCAACGTGGTATGGCCGTAAGCATACAACAGTGTTTTCATTCTTGACTTTATGATTTCCTAGAGTTGAATAAGTTCTCGATTATAAAAATGAAAAGCTGCAAATCTTCTTGTACAAATNTATGAATATGAACACGTATTGGACTATCACGAATAATTAATGGTCGATGAGATAAAATTTGATTAATTTGATATAAATTTCTTTGTTTTAAGACTTTGTTATGTTGATATGATGTAGTAATCATTGCTTTTTTTTGTAAATTTTGAAGATTAATCAATAATTGATTATTTTCTTGTTGTAAATTTAAAATACGACGAGATAAATAATGTATATGAAATGAATATCGTTGTTGATGCTGATTATAAATATCATTTAATTGTGTATATAAACGAATTTTTTCATTTAATAATAAATATTCATCTATATGACGTTTGCTTTTACTCATCATATTCATTATTTGTTGTTTAAGTTTATGAATATTTAATTTAAATTGTTGATTTTCTTGATATTTATTAATAATATGCTTTATTTCATAATCAGATAGTGATTCTAATTGATCATATTTTTTATATATACCATCTAGCATTTGTAATTTTTGTTGATATAAATAAATTGAATATTGTTTTCGATTTGATATAAGAATTTGATCATGTTTTTGTTTTAATGATTTATTATAAAGTAAATGAAAATGATCAATTTTACTTTCAAGTTCATTTTCAATTAATTGATTTTTTTTATTTAAAAAATGTATTTTATCATTATTATCACGAAGACAACGACTAAGTGAAGCACGTTGTTTTTCACGTCTAAATGTAAAAAAAAAATGTTTTTTTTTTTTTCGAATTGTAGAATTTTTATTCGTTTAGTTTTACTTCATTATTTCAGTTTTTTTCTTTTGTAAAATCGATTGAAAATACTAGAAGATTCAAAATGAGGTTTTCTGTTTCTTATAAATGAGAAATATTTATACTTTTTCATTATTATTCAAATTATGAAAAATATTCTTTAATCGAATAATTTCAAAAGAATTTCGAATTGTTTTATCTATTAAATGATGTTCATTAATAGATAATATATGCAGACGTTTCGTATATGTAATAAGTTGTTTTCGTTTTTGAAATGAAATTTGTTTTATTGAACGAAGTTTTTCTTGTTCATTTATTCGAATAAATCGGTTTTCTTGTAAAATTTTTTCTAAATTATTATTTAAATGAATCATCTTTTTTAAACTTATTTTCATTGTTGTAAATTTATCTTGTTGATCTTTAAGATGAACATTGTTGATTGTAATAATGTGTTCATTTTTTTTATTTTGTTTAATTATGTCAGTTAATTGTTTAGTTAAATTATAAATACGATTATCAAATTTTAATCGATTATGTTTTAACATAAATTGTTTACGTGCTAATGCATAATTCATATGTTCTTCGGACTTGAGTATATGATGTGTATAACGTTTTATTAACTCAAGTTCATGTATGTGATGTTGAAGATTTTGTATTTGATCACGACAAGCCATTGAACGAGTTTGTTCTATGGATAATTGAATCATTCGTTTGACTAAGAAGAAATTTTAATTCAAACCTGTGGTGATTTCATTTTTAATCTTTTCAATTTCTTGTTTAATCTAATTTGATAAGAAAGTCAAAATATAGGTGTTTAGTGGAATGAAGTTACAGTACAACTTGTGTAATGTAGGCATTCTTGGAACTAGGAATGCAACGATGGCGCGGATCATCGGTACCACTTTAGATTGGAGCACTGGTCTACTCAAATTCATTTCGACGTTTTTCGTCGGGGAAAGTCAATTTTAATAAAATGGTTGAATTTTATAGAACACGGCTAAATCGTGAGAACTAGCCGTTCTTCAACGACAAAATTCGAACTCGAAAATTTTGACAAATCTTATATAGATTCAGACTTCTGGGCTTCGAAAACCTTTAGTCTTTTCTTAAAATGCTTGCCCCTCCAATTCGCAAAAGTCAAAATCAATTCAAGGCCACCATAGTTTCATCATTCGTTCACCGTCTTCATCGTTTGCATAGATAATCTTTTCTTCATTTCAACAATTTGAATAAAATAATAGTATTATATTTCATTGACAAAATTTTATGTGAGTTTTATATTTCTGAAATTTGTCATTCGTCTAGACATGAATTTTTTTTTGTGTTATATGAGTTTAGAGTTGAAAGNTTCATTTCAACAATTTATCAAGTCAATGTTTTTTAATGAGAGGTAAATCAACACGTGCTAGTATGATTCAATGTTACAACGCAGTTGTTAACAGAAAAACGATGAGATAGATGTTACACTAATCACTGCTTCTGTTGTGTAATATTGCCTTTTTTTTCTTTTAAGTACGTACGATTATTCCATTCCCTTTATATAAATATTCCGTAATTGATTATTATAACTCAATAAATAAAACATCATTTTTTTCGTGTTGTATGAGTGAGTAATAGAACATATGTTACTCACATTACAAAAGCTTTTATTGTTTATGGGATCAGAAATAAATATTCTCTGCTCACAGTAAGCAGGTGCCCATGTTTAAGAGACTCATTACTAGTAAAATTCGCTTAAGGAACTATAGATTGTTTAGTATAAGGACGTGCTCACATAGAAAGGTTTTACTGTACATTTGTTTCATTTGTTTGAATTAATAATAGATTTTGATTAGTTTGATAATAAGTATTTCTTAAATCGTTAAACTGTTTTTGTACAAGATCATATTGAACTTGTGTTGTTTTTATTCGATCATTGTATTCATGTTTCATATTTTGAGTTGTTTCAAAAATATTTTGAAGATATGAATTTTGTTTTTCTAGAAATTTCTGTTTAGTTAAATGCATGACTTTTTTTAATGACAAACCTATTTGTAACCAATGATTATAAATATCTTTTTGTTCTAATTTAATTTTATCTAAGAGTGGTTTTATTGTTTGTAATTCTTTTAGATCTATTTCAATTTGTGTTTGTATGGTTTGAATTGCATCTTTTTGTTTATTAATTAAAACTTTTAATTTTTCTTTTTCTTTTATAAATCGATCTAATTGAATTTTCTGACTTTCTTGAAATGTTTGAAATTTTTGTAGATTAATTTGTAAAACTTGTGGATTACTAAGAAGGATTTGTAATCGTTCTATTTCATGTTCTAAACTATAAATAATTGTCCAATATTGTTCTAAACAATATTGTGTATAACCAATTTGTCCAATTAGTTGTGAAATTTTATCTTTAAGAAAGAATATTTCATTTTCATGATTATGCCGATCATGGATATATTGTGTAAAAATCGAAATCGTATTTTGAATAGTATTAGAGAGATTATTATATTCATTAGAAAATTTTTCTTGTGATTGAAGATTTTTACGAAAAAATCGAAATATAATTGGAATAAGATGAAATATTTGTTCAAGAGATAAATTCTTGTTTGGTGATGATTCTAGTTGACTGATAAGAGAAATATGAAGGGAATTTATGCGTTCATTAAAATCAATATTAAATAATTCATCATGTGGATAAGATACTTGCAATGAATTCATTATAAACGAGAATAGTTTATCTTCTTCGATTGGCGCTATATTTGTCTATTGGATTAAACTTTCAACTCTAAACTCATATAACACAAAAAAAAATTCATGTCTAGACGAATGACAAATTTCAGAAATATAAAACTCACATAAAATTTTGTCAATGAAATATAATACTATTATTTTATTCAAATTGTAATTTGTTTTTTGTATCTTTACATCTGATACATTTAAAATTGAGTCAATCATTGATAGATAAAATCTGTAGAAAACATGCATTATTTATAAAAAATGGCTTATAACATCATCTAGACATTATCATTTTATTATCATATAGCGACATTGTTACATTCTTTTTCTACTATAAAGAAAAATGAATTCATAAGTTGATTCTACATGTCATATGATAGGCGAAACATCGATTAATTGACTACATTCCAATGATTGACAAGCGACTAGTTCAGTTATGAATGAAGAGTTAGTAGTAAGAATCTTATCTTCAAGAGAGAATTCTATTGTATTATTTAGAAGCCAATAGTTCACTTTGAATTCGAGAGAACGTGCCTTTTGAGTGTTGAGACAAATTAATAATGATGGGTAAACAGCAGTGCTGAGTGTATTCGGATCACAAAAGTCAACGTTAAAGTACACTAAAACATTCGATTACATATCATAATCAATACTCAAAAACAGAAATACTGTTGATACCATTGGAATGTATTTCTGTACTCTCCTAAAATAACTTTATTAACTATCCAAGATCGATAAGACTGCATAAGATGATATTTTTTTTTAGTGTAAAACAGAATAATGTTAATAGTAACGACGTTGACACTATGTGAATACTTATTCTGATGAGAAAGAAAAAAAAATATTTGCCTTCCCAAAATTTAAGAGAAGTAGTTTATTAATTGAAGAAAAACCATATTACCATAGTATCTTTCGTTCTTCTAAGCGTTTCCTGCATCCTTTTCATAGAAAATATAGTATGTACACGATGTTAAAATTACTTCGTGAATCAGTAACCTATACAAATATGTATCAACAAGTGAAAACTTGACAACGTCATTCAAGTTATTTGGTCAATGCTAATAACTAACACAGAAGCTCCGTTTCGTTCATCAGAGGTATATTCAAATACAATTATTTAATCAATGTGTAAAATTTGCCATCCAAATACTCATAACACACAAACGGATATTTCAAACTGCAGTCAATATTAATGTCTATCAGCTTCTTATGGAGCTTTGTATGAGCAAATCAAATATCATATTTATTCAGCAGGTTCTTATATAAATCGATCGAATATTACTTGTTTCACAAAGCCCTGCCTAAATCAAGTATGTTAATTCTGCAATCGATTCAGAACTGTGTCTTGTTGGATTCTATAATCAATTGTTGGTTAAAAAAAAAAAGCATGTCAACAATGCAAACTTAAACAGAATGTTGCAAATATATCATTGAGTAATAAATATTAATTTATTAATTCTATAGAATAAAATATTCGGCAAAGAAATAAAAACAGAATTAATTATAATAGTACTTTGAATCTATTAGATTCCGTCGGTGACTATGATTGAGTTCGGCTTTTAAAAATAATTATATAATAATTCTTGTGGTTTGTTTAATTCACTTATGTGATTACTTTTTCAGAATTTACGTCCTTTATTTTCTTATTAAACTGATAAGCAACTTGCATACAAGAGACTTTATTACATTTTCAACATCATCTTTCTTTTTTTCTCTTTGATTTCTTACATTTTCTATCTAGAAGAAAAAATATGAATCGTATCATCTGCATTCTGCACTTCTTAGTATTTATTCCACAACTTTCATAAAAGTTTTAAATCAACCAATACTCATTCTCAGCTTCTATTTTCTTAAATATCAATGCACATGGTTGAACAAATATTTAAAGATCGTATGAAGGACTAAGAGAGTTTTAATTAATATTTCAGAAAAGAAACCTTTCTTTCCTTCTATAAATTTGACCAATAAAAAGCACAAGTTTCTCTTATTTCTAGAGCCGATAAGAAGAAATTTTTTCAAATTTCAAGATGCAATGAAAAACTGTGTTTAAAGTACGTAAAGCATAAAATATTCTTCTCATTTCACTTTATATGATTGGTTAGTGCAGGTTTAATTGGCAGAATCGTTACATAATTTTTGAAATATCTTTGCCGTTAGTGCCACCGGAACAAAATAAGATAGATAATTGAGTTTTGAAAATTTCCGACCCTCACGATGATTTTTCGAGAGTTTTTTTCGGTTTAACTTTTTATCAACATTTTCTCTACGATTCTTCTTCTGTTTTTTCCACTTGAAAAATGCTCGGAATTAAGAAAAATTGAAGAAAAAAATCCTTCGAAAATTTCAATCACCACCGCCGATTGTTTGCATCGATTTACATCTCTATTGGTTACCTGTTATAAATAGAAAAAAGACGTACTAATGAATAACGAGCCCTTTCAGACAAATGTTTTTCATCAGTCAAATGATTCAAACTCAGAATTCTTCAACTTATTTTAAATTCTATCATCTTACATTACCGACGGTTTTATTACCAAAAGAAAAAAAAATATTCTATTAATATAAGAAAACTTTGAAAATACTCCTCAGTACAACATACTTTATTACATCTGAAAATTTCACTAAACTTTCAAGTCAATATGAATAATATTTTCAGCAATTTTTTATACTTATATTACATAGCAACTCAAGTGATTCAAACAGTTATTGAAAAAGACTTTTTTTCTTCTTCTATTCTATCAAGGTCATATAATATTTTATTTGTTTCTAATGGCGTTAAACGACTTGTGCTGATTTACTTGCACACCCTATTTAAAAACCATTAAAATATCAATAAAAAATATCAATGTGAATGTTTTTTTCTGAATTATTACCAAAACAGTAGCAAGACAGAAATGAAGAATGATTTATAAAATAATGTGAATGTACTACTGTTGTTTTCTTTGTTTACTTTCGTACAGTCATCTATTGCTGTACATTGGTGATTGTTTATTACAAAAGAAAAAGACTGAATAAACATAAGCACACAATAGAAATTTGTCTGGTCTATATGTTATACGTGTCTTTCGAGAAAAAAAAATGAAAAGCTACTGTTTGTCTAAACATTTGGTGCAAGCATACGACGAATGACTGGATCGTTTTTACATCTAATCAAAGAAATAAAAGTTAAGAAGAATTGAGCGAAAAATTTGATCTAATTACATACCCAGCAATAAATTCTTGTTTGCTTAATTTCTTATCACCACCAACATCAAGTTTAGTAATAATTTCAGCTGCACGTTTCTTTGGTTCACGATCACCTTTACGATCGGTTTCGCCAACAAGATCATACTGAAAAAAAAAGCGAATATATTCATTGAGAAAAAACAAAAACAAGTTTCTACCATAGCTGAAATTAAGCTAGTCAATTCTTTCTGATCGATTTGTCCATCACCCGAAACATCATACCTAAGACCACAGAAGAAATTCAGTTAAAAGAAACAAAAAATATTTTATGAAAAAATAAATACATTTCAAATGCAACTTCAAGTCGATCATCTAAATCACCTTGGCTTGTTGCAGCAATAGCCAAAAGAAATTCATCAAAATCAATTGTGCCATCATTATTAGTATCAAAAGTAGAAAATGCATATCTAAACAAAAAATAGAAAAATTTATGATGAAATATGAATTAATTATACAATAACTTACTTGCAGAAAGCGTCAGCTTTTCCGTGAGGATAAAATTGTTTATAAACATCAACAAATTTCTTTTTATCAAGTTTACCATTTGGACAATCACGTAAAAATCCCTGAAGTCAAAAAATACGAAAAATTCATAGAACAAGTAAACGAGTAAGAAAAATACTTACGGCATGCCATTCTCGGATTTCTAAAAACATTAATAAAAAGAAAATAGTAATGAATATATGAATTGCATTGAATTCTTACCTTTTTCAGTAAATTTAGTATTAGCTTTAAGCATATCGATTTCTATAAATTAAAAATTTAATCAAGAAAAAACAAAACGAATGTGATTATAAATAGCAAACCTTTGGGCGTAAGTTCAGTAGATGTTCGCGGTTTTTTTGATCCTTTACCACCCATAATTGAACGATTGTTTATCTTAGTTAATAATAAAAAAAATCAAACAGAAATCTAAAAAATATAAATTTACAGAATGTTATAGATGTTGATAGTTATATAATATTATCATGAATGTTTATATTTTATTTTTATTTTCACTCACCACTGAATGTTATACCATCAATGGATGAGCGACAAATATATTTATAGGGATGAAAGAGGAAGAAAAAAAATGAGAGAATGAGAGAAACAAAAAGTGAGAGAGAATCATGGACGTTAGTGCACGTAAATATGCACAAAGAATGGAAAGAAAAAGAGAGAAAAAGAGTGAAAGAAAAAGAAATTATTAATGTGTTAAGAGCGAAAAGCCTAAATAGTTGGCGTGTCACTATTGCTTAAAGCATCTTGTAGATAAAAGATAAGCTGCAGGTAATTAAAGTACAATTTTCATACTTGTTAAAGCAATAGAAAATAATCATTATCATGGTAAGAAAACTGTAAAAACTTGATCTTCAATTTATTCTTTTTTATATAACTTTTTATCATGACTTAATTCTAACTTTTTTCTTTCTTTTTAATTTTATTTGTTGTAAAGTCAACAAGAAATCTTTCTCTTTCTTTCATTTTTATAACAAAACGAGAAATTGCAAAGCAAAAGCAATGAATTAGAAATAGTAAAATAAAAAAAAAAAAGGAAATTTGTATAAGTCAAAAAAGTATTCAAAAAAAGTACCGATCAGGAAATGAATCGTGAAAAAGAAAAACATACTATATTTCCTATGAACAAAATAACAAGAAATGAATAATTATTCATTTTGTTTATTTTTAGTCAACAAAAGACAAGAGTAACAAAGCTCGTGATGAATCCATGAATCAACCTTCACCAACGCCTCCATTTTTATCAAAGTACGATTAAAATTTTTACATATTCATGTATGAATGAATAAAACTAAAATCAAACAAGTGTTATTCATGTTTTATTATCTATACACTAGATATACTTATCTGAAAAATTGATCTTTTTTTTTTGTTTTCGTATTTAGTTACAAATGGTGGTTGGTGTCTTTTGTTTTTATTTTAATTATTTCGTTTATTGTTCAACGTCCAAAAATTGATCAAAAGAGTTCAATACAAAAAGAACGTTTATTTACACCAGATGAACTTCAATCATATACTAAAGATGAATTGTATTTAGCTATTTTAGGTAAGAAAAAAAGAAACATATTAAAATTTGAATTAAAGTCAAAAATAAAAAAGAAACGAATTCAATATTATTATTATTATTATTATTGTTATTATTATTATTATTATAGGACATGTTTTCAATGTAACATCAGCACCAAAATTTTATTCGTCGACCGGAGGTTACAAATTCTTTACAGGTATACATAAAACATCAATAAAAAAAAACATTTTACTTATATTCGGATTGATAACATTTGTTCTATGTTTATCAAAATTTGATTGAAATCTACTACCGAGATTTTCTATTTAATAGAATAAGATTTCAGCACTGTATAACATCGTGTCTTATATGTAAAATAAAAGATTGAATTGTTGCAAATGTAAATATAAAACTTATTCTGATGAATTTATTTAGGTCGTGATGCTTCTCGAGGTTTTCATACTGGTGGTACATCAGCAGAAGATCTTACTGATGATTTAACTGGATTAACTGACGAAGATATTGCTGGAATATATGATTGGTTAACATTCTATCAAAAACAATATCCACAAATTGGTATTTTTAGATTTTATAATTCGTTTAATGTATATTAGAGGTGTTTCGAGACTGTCAGGATTGGAAAGAGGTGGGGAATTAGTGAGCTGGAGTCCGCTGGGAAAAAACAAAAACTTGTCAAGGTTGAAGGCGAGCAATCTCTTGATCTCATCCTTGTTCGATACACCTTTGATACATAGATATATATATTAAATATCCTAAACTGATAGTATCTATTTTCTAGGTAAATTAATTGGTCGGTATTTTGATTCAAATGGAACACCCACAAAACATTTTAGTAATGTTCTTACATCAGTTAATAATATGAAAAAAGTTAATAACTTTGATAATCATTTAGATTAATTATTACATATATATATGTTTCTTTTTGTATAGAAAAATGAAGAAAAAGAGCTCTTTGAACAACAATGGCCACCATGTAATAGTGAATGGTCACACGATGCTGGTAGGCGAGTATGGTGTACAGAAAAAAGGTAAATAGTTTATTTGTTGAATTTTTTATAAAATTAAAATCATCTTATCGTTAATCATTCAATACTATTTACATAGTTACAATAGAAAAAACATCATTGAGTTAGATTATAAATAACTTAAAACAAATAAACCTATCAGTTTTACTTGAAAAGTATCCGGAACCCAATGGTTTTGTGCTCTTTAGTCTTGATAATTTCTATTTTGTTATTTGTTTTTTTGAGTTTACCTTGGAAGACATATTTTAGTTCTACGTTTATCTTATCTTTATTTTTCGAAATTTATTTAGTGGTGGTATAGAACGAACATGGGCTGGTGTACCTCGACGATATTTTGATAGTGCAACAAAAACTGAACGATGTGTTTGCGTACAAAATACGGATGAACAAAACGGTCGATTCAGACAATATAAAGATTGTTTGCCGACAAGTATTGAATGTAAAATATTAGATTAGCTAATGAACTTTTTATTTATTCGATATTCTTAACGATTTTCTTTAACAAATAAATAAATACACACACACATGCACAATAATATTGCGTAATAAATATTAATCATCAACTAAATCTTCTGGCCGTACAGGATGTGGTATTGGTATTAATGATTTTTTTTCAACATCTCGAGATAAAGCTTTTCGCATATCTAATAAAAACAAAAATAATTTGTTCGTTTTTTTAGAAGATTTATAAAGAACCGATAGTGCAAATATCTTAGCACAAAATATTCACTCATTTTTTGTCAATTAAAAAGAGTAGTTATTTAAATTCAGAATTTTTCAGTGTTTCAGAATGTCTGTTTAGACTTCTCTTCTACAATAAGATTGAACAACTATCAGTCAGGTTCGTGAAAAATTATAAAATTGTGTCTGTACTAGAGCTGGATCTGAAGAAGTCTAGTCGTCCGAAAAATATGTAGACTGTGATAGTCATCGAATGCAAAAAAATCGGAAATCGTATCTTAAAGGTAGCCATTCACTTTCGATTAGAGAATTTCAATGAGAGTATCAAAATGTAATTTGACAACGTTCGATCCGACGAGCTCTAGTCTGTACAAACCAAAATAGCGATTTTGACACAATTCTTGGTTTGTGTCTTGGAATAGATTCAACTCAATGTTAATGTAGAACACTGAATTTTGTACAAAATAAAATAGTACAATAAGCGAAATCTCATCTATACGTTTCCACTAAAGAACTACTTAGTTTCTATGAAAACTGGCAAAAGCTTTTTCAAAAATTACTTTTAAAAATATAAATGTTGTAAAAATCTGTCGTACAAGAATAAATAGCACGCTTTGTAGAGCAAATTTTTCTCAACAAAACCAAGCTATTTGAAAACTGTTACGCATTTTGAATATGATAAATTTCAATTGAAATACAAAATTAACCAAAATAGTATTCTGTGCACAACTACTATTTTTAACTTTTTCAAATAATCCGATGAGAGTTGTCCAGTCTTACTCAAGAAAGAAATTCTGAATAGATATTCGTAAAGAACGAAAGTCTCTGATTCTAACTTAATGGCGTTGGTTTTAATCAGTTGTCCGAAAAATGAGTGAATATTTTGTGCTAAAACTTTCGCGCCATAGATTAAGTATTTTACCAAATGCATCTTCATCTCGTTCACCAGAATAATATCCAATAATTCGCCTATAAACAACATAATTTAATTTATGATACATATCAACAGCTCGTTTATTTGATACACGAACAAATAGATCCACAAAGTATGTTTTTTTCCTATATTAAAATATATATTCATATATAAGAGTTTATAGAAAAAAAAACTGTTAAATTACTGTTCAGAAACATTTTCTAATAATGCCATTAATTGTGACGATACTCCTATACGACGAAATTCCGGTGCTATTGATAAAGCTGTTACATGACCATGATAATTTTCTTGTTTGCCTTAAATAAAAACATAAAACTTTTCGATTAATAAATATTTTAAAAAAAATCTTACCTTCAATTTTTCCCATAACTGTATTTGGAAAAAAAAACATTTTTTAAATTTGTTTTTTATTTACTATATAAGAATTATATATAACTTACTATATCCCATTAATCTTTGAGCAGAATTTTCAGCTACAAAAAAGCATTCTGGCCATCGTGCTAAATAATGTAAATAAAAGGAAAGGCCATACTAAAACAAGAAAAAACAGTTTTCTAATTTAATTCTCTTGTTTTTTTTTTCACTTACATTTTCGGTAAAAATATCTAAATTCCTAAACAAAACAAAATCAAAATCATCTTCTTATAAAAAATCCAAATAAAGCCTTACTTACACGTTATTAATTCGTAAGAGATCTAATAATCTAAACTGTCGAATTGATGTCATAGTAACCTTAAAAAAGAAAACATCGATAAGGATGTTTGTTTTTTTTTGATTTGAAAAAGATGATATATATTTTTTTAACAGCCGATCGAATAAGACACAAAGAAAAAAGTTTAAAATCGACAAACATTGATTTTCCTAATTAGAGTTGTTGTTGATACTATGAAAGAAATGTTTAAGCACATACAAACACACACACAATTAAAAAAGAAGACGATTATCGATTGTTTTTTCCATCACTGTTTATTTTTTTAAAGTTTAGCTTTAAGATGTTCATTAGATTCTGTTGATTCCGGTATTAAATTTTTTGAACCAAATATATTGTTTGGATCAAGATATTGTTTTATTGACGTCATTGTGCCAACACCAAGATCACTAACAGCTTGTTTTATCCATTTAGTACGAATTTTTCCAACACCATGATGATGTGATAAACTTCCACCATTAGCTAATACTTCATCGCGTGCTGCTTGTTCGACTAGTTCATAGACATGAACTGGATCACTACCATGACGTATGTCATTATAATTCATAACAAAATAAAAATAAATACAAGCACCAGCATCGTAGGTTTGTGTTACACGACAAGAAGAAAATGGTGGATATTTAACACCATGTTTTTCACATTCAGTTATAATACGTTTTTTAACATTACGGCATAAATCTTTAAAAAGATAATGTTTAAAACTTAAAGAAAAAGAAAAGAAAATAATCATTTACCGATGACACGATCCCATGGTACAGATGTTTCAAATGATTCAGCAACAATTCGATAATCAAGTCCAATATCGCGTAAATAGGCAATCATGAAAGTTAATGTATATCCTTTCAAACCATTTTCTTCACCTGAAATAAGAGAAAATGAATTCAATTTAGAGATTTTTCACAACAAGTTTGGCCGCACTAGCTAAATAAGATTGATTCTTCTATATATTTATGGTCGTTCAAAAAATTAGATTAGAATGTCGTTGAACATCTTCAATTATGAAACTATTAATAATTTTTGATGAAAACTACATAATGATTAGTGGTTTCTGTCATTAAACAAAGCAAGGCAAGAATCATCATTTTTTAAAAATTCAGATATTAAAGACATTTCAATCATTTATCATCAAGAATAAAGAAGTATCGAGCTTAGCTGATTTTCCTTCGCATATTTGAAAATCAAAAAAGAAAAGAAATCTTTACCAGCTGGTATGCCATTATATTTTTGTGCAATATCATAAACAAATTTTTCTCGTTGATTAACTTCATTTGTTGTACCTTCGAAAAGTAATGTAGCAGCACACATACGATTAATATCAAAACCTTTGATTTTTGTGATGTATAATTTTTTAATATTGTCAACTAATGAATGTAACATTCCTTTATTATCAGTAGCTAATGCTTGTCCAAATAGAAATTGTTCATTATCAAGTAAACGTATTGATGCTGGTGCACTTCTTAAACGTGCAATTTCACGTAAACATGCAACACCAGATTCAAAATCCGGAAAAACAATTGAACCATATTTTTTACAAGCTGGTAATGGTCGAATTTTCATTGTTACTTCTGTAACAATACCTAGAATACCTTCAGAACCCATTATCAAATGATGAATATCAGGTCCAGTTGATTGTCGTGGACCTAAACAACTTTTTTCAATTATGCCTTTAGCTGTTACCATTGTTATATGAACAACTAAATCTTCAATATTTCCATATACATTCTTTTTCATTCCTGATGCTCGTGTTGCTACCCAGCCACCTAATGAACTGAATTCCATACTATCTGGCTCATGTCCAGTACAATATCCTAAATAATCAAGATAAAATTTAAAAGAAAACAAAACTAAAAAAATGATTTCTTTTACCTTTTTTTGCTAATTCGCGTTCAAGATCTTGTCCAATAATACCTGACTGAATACGTGCTGTTAAATTTTTTTCATCCAAATATAGAATTTTATTCATTTGGGATGTATCAACACTAACAATCATACGTTTTTCGTCAGTTGGACAAAGTAATGCCCATGTAACTGATGTACCACCACCAAATGGTATTAAACAAACATTATGTTTAACAGCTAAACTAACGATTTTTTCAACATCACTATGTTGACGTGGCCAAACAATCCAATCAGGTAAACGATCAAATTTTCCGCCATTTCGTAATTTCCATATTTCTTCAAGTGTGTGTCCATGACCATGAAAAAGACGATCATTCTTATCAGATGAATATGGAACAGTTGCACCAAGAGTTGATTGAAAATCAGCTATAAATGAATTATTAAGAATTGGTTCAGATATGAAATCAGGATTTGGTTCTTGAACACTTGGTGAATAATTATCAATACTGGCATTCAATTTACTGAACATCCAATCTTTTAAACGTGGAAGAACATGACCACTTAATAAATAACGTGAACCAGAAAATTCAATTAAACCATTTGAATTAAGAAAAAATCGAGAATCACGATAACCCCAACCTTGCCATTTTAATAATTCCTTGAATAACAGAAATAAGAAAACTAAATAATCACTATCTCAAATTGGCCTTTAACGGTACCACTCTCCGCCCGCTGTCCGGAATTTCTGGAGAACGACTCATCAGAAAAACTTGAGATTTTCAGAACACGTAGATCTTGACGAGTAAAGTAAAAGTTGCCATAGATTTAAAGTTTCCGAAGGTTGTCTTTTATTTTTTTTTCCTTTGAATAAAAAAAACCGAAATATCGAGGGTATTCGAAAACACGCATGTCTTTTGCAATAGAACTTTTTTTGTAAACTCTACCAAACTCAGCAAAACAAAATGCTTTGAAGCAAGAAAAGAATATCCATCGCAAACAATATATAGTATATGTGAAAAAGTTTCAGCTCGATTGAACGTACTGGGCAGGAGAAGCGGAAGCGTTTGTGCACTTTTTTTCGTGAAAAATTTGATTTGAGAAAAACACAAGACTATGTACAGCTTTTGCTCATTTGCTTTCTTCTCGAATATTATAACGTGTAAAGACAATTTTTGGATCCTAAAATATATTGAGTAGATAGGTACTACTTCAGACTATACAATGGCACAAAAAGGCAAAAATTTTACGTCAACAAAGGGGAAGTTACTTTTAAGATGCATTCATGTTAGAAATTGCAGTTGTAGCCCAAACAAGTCTTTTTTAATATTTATACATAGTTGGATAGCGTAAGTTTTCTTCTTTGGAATGCACTATCATTCACTAGTGTTCATAGTGAAATCTGCAGGTTTTACAAAGATTTTCCTGAGAACTCCTAATATGAAGGATGGTATCATAGCCTTGATCATTATAGTCTTTTAAGTACCTCTTTAAATCTGCAACATGGAGAATATAACTAATAAGTGACAGCCAATTTATGCCAAATACTCTCCCAAATTCTGCATGAGTTCTCATGTATAACCTATAACCTTTCGAGGAGCAAAAACTTGATTTTTAAAGCTCAAAAGTGATTTCCTAGTTTTTTCGTCAATGCATCCGAGATTTCTCATTCATTTAACACGTCGCTTTTATATTTTCAATTTACTCTTCTGAGAACAATGAACCTTTTTCCATAGGAGCACCTTGAATTCTTTTTAGAAAAACCAGCATCAAAAGCAAACAAAGAAGCTTGTTCAAAAAATCGAGTTCCATTAAGTTGTTGCGGCAAGTGTTGGTTACATATTGGCGTGAACTCTACATCTCTATTATTAAATTTGGAGGAGAAATCTGTCAGTCGCGTAGGTTTACTTTTTTATCCTTAATATTAGGATAACTCTTGAAAATTTGAGATACATCGATAGTTCTACAGCAAAACTAGGTTTCTGACAGGGTGGTGGGGAAGAAAAGCTTTAATAATTCATTCAGAAAGCAACAATTCAATATTTTACCTGACGATGTAATGGAATGGTTGCTGTTGTTTCTCCTTTTACTTCTGCACTCATCTAGAACATTAAAAAACAAAGAATCATTACAGTAAAACAAAAAAGAAACATGTAAAATTAAGAAGCCATCTGCATTGCTAATTTTAATTCATTTAAATGTCGTCGTCCTAATGCAATTTGTGTTCTTATTTCTCCTAAGTCTGTTAAATTTTTATAACGATCAAATTCATATCTGGTCCAATCTCGCACTAAAAAAATTAATTAATTAATTAAAACAAAAAATAAAATTATCTATCTTACAAACTTTCTTTTCTATAATCTTGATCATCAATTTTCATTATTGTTCTCATTGTATCTCTATATAATGTAATAACTTGTGAACGTACAATAAAATGCTTTAATGATAATTGTTTCATCTAGAAAATAAATATCACCAAGACAACATATTTATTTTTCTTTAATACAAAAAAAAGGTAAAATTAATGAATATCGATAATTGGTTAGTACCATTACCGTTAAATGATGCACAACAAAATGAATATAATCTTTGTCAAGAAAAATTATATGCACTTCTTAATCTTCCCTTACGTATACATTGTTTACCTAGTGAAATTTTATTCACAAATTCAAATGAACAAACAGCATTAACAATAAATAATCGTAATCCATTAAAAATGTATTGGCATAGAAATTTAAATGAATTACGTTTATTCTTAAAACGAAATCAACAAAATCAAACGAAAATTGATGCTAATATTATTGAAATACATAAACGTCGACGTTTACAAATAACACGTTATATAAAACAAGATTTGTTTCAACCATCTGTTATAATATCATTTTCACAAATACCAACAACAAATAATCATCTACTTCTATTAACTATAACTGGTAAACATTGTATTTTAGAATTACAAATACCATCCATAAATAATAATGAATTAATCTATCATGGTACATACAGAAAAATGGGTGAAGATGCACAATTAAGATCAATAACAGCGCTTTTTAATTGTACAATGCATATCGATAAGGATATGGCATTATTACTTAGTGAATATGGTTTATGTCGAATAATTTTATAGAAAAAAAAACAAGAAGAATTTGTTGTTTTGTTTTATTTTTTTTTGAGTTATTTTTATTTGAAATAAGGAAAAAGAAAACGAGAGTAAAAAGAAGAAACGGAAATGTTAATTTCTTCGTTTATTAATGGCTTCATTTTTTCGTTTTTGTTGTGCTGTTAATAAACCACCATTAGCACCATTATTTTGAATTTGTTGTTGTGTTGGTTTTTGTTTTTTTGGTCCGCCAAATATATTTGCAAACATATCACCTATATCAGGTGTATTTAAATTTGGTTGAAGAAAATTACTAGCTTGTTGTAAATCACGTTGCATTTCAGGATCTTGTGAAGCTAATTTAGGTAAAATTAATAATAATGCTAATGGTATAAGTAATGTTAAAAACATTGGATTCATAATAACATCTGTTAAACGATAAACTTCACGTTTTTGAAAATAATTTGGTATACCATGTGTTTCAAAATTTAATGGATATTTCATTGTAACAACTTCACCTGGTTGAATAAAATTAACTTTACGTGCACGAATTTTACCTTTAGCATTTATATCAACACGAACTGGTTCGAATACATGTAGAGGTGATACAACTGAAACAATATATGAACCACTTGGAATACCTAAAACAAAAGAAACACAAAAGGATATTTTAATTTGGTTGAAAAATAAAAATAAATAAAGAATATACCAGATATAACAAATGTTCCATCAACTTGTGGAATACCAATATAAAGACCTTCATCGATTAATATTCTTGTATTTTCAAGTGCATTATCACCTGGTGGAACGATTATTTTACCTTCAATTTTAAATGAACCAACACTTTCATTTGAAGGATTGAGGGCGAGTGATTCTGATGTTGCATGAATAAATGTAATGATAATGAAAAAAAGTAAAGTAGAAATAAAATATTTAACCATTTTTTAATGCCTGAAAAAACAAACAAAAAACAAAATAGATTGATCAAAAAGAAAAAAAAGAGTTTCTTACAGCTTTTTGTACACAATCTTTAAGAGCAAGAAATTCTTTTAAACACGAATCTTTTTTTAAATCACTATGGTTTATAACACAAGCAGCGTATGCTGTAGCCTTAATAGAGGGAAAGAGAATATTATTATGATACGCAATGCAATGATTAATGATCACCTGTGTGGAACACGTACTAACGTTTTTAGCAATGGCAGTCAAGCGTTTACGAGCAACACTATCAGGCATTCAACTAACATAACAAATTTGATTTAATCTAAAACAACAAATGAAATATGAACGTGACTTTCCAATCATAAAAAAGTTTGATATGTCTCTGTCTGTTAGTTAATCGAGAAAAAATAATAATTTATCTTTTTTGATTTGTTTTTAGAAAAGACAACAAACAATCGAGTTCTACCAGTCGTTAATTCTCAATTAATAACTTGTAGAATTTTTTATATCAAGGATAGATGTCGTTATATATTGAGCTGTCACCCACCAAGACGCAGTAAGGCAGCAAAATAGAAGACATTGTCCTTTGCTTCTCTCTATTTTGTATATTTTCCTTTTCTATATATCATTGTTCTTTCTTTTTTATAAATAGTATTTGGTATATGTTAAGATAATGATGATAAAATCCCATAAGTTCATATTTTTTTCAATATTCATTGCCTGTGATGACATGTCATTAAAATAATAAATCAAGATGTTGCTATATTTTATTGTATTTATAATATTAGTGATTATTAAAAATTTTGTTGTTGTACTTGAAAATGATACAAAATAAATAAGCCATTGAATAACTAATAAGTTAATATATATTTTAGTGATAGAAAGTCAAAATAAGGATTCTGACTGTCCTATGTGCATTTCTGATTTAGATCTAATATCAGTAAAAATTTCATTAATTTTCCTTTCACTCGAGTTGAACTATTCAGAAAATGCTGATCGTTACGGAATTTCAAAAATGGAACTTTTTATTAGCGTAGTCGAAAGTTTAGTATTTTACTACAACTACAAAACGGAACGATGTAAAAATAATAATAAGCATAATTGCATTGAATAACAAACTAAGAATAGTATTCGTTGCAAAATGTCATCGTTTTCCCGAAAATCTTGGTGTGAATTAGAATGAAAGTAAACAAAAAGGCAACAGCAACCAGATTTCCATTACCAACATCAAATGATATATTTTTCACAAGAACCCAATGAAAATTTTTTCGATCCGAGAAAATCAAGGTTGAAATTTCGATTAATTAAACGATTCTTTGTGTTCAGAATTTTACGCTAATTCCAAAGATGTGTAAACTTATGAACAAAAAAAACAGTGTAAAACGCATAATGGTCTTAAAACATTGCATAATTCTGCTACAAATGAAATTTCGTAATGCAGTATGCCTAGAAAATGGATGCAAATATTAAATAAAACTGTGCTGAACGTGACTTTGTTCCGTGCAGCTTATTTAGTGCAATCTGAAGACATGCTTTTTGTTGACATCCAATATTTTTACGAAGGTCATATGCTGAATGAGTAATTCATATTCGATGAAGAATTTTTTTCCGCTGATCAATTCTTGTTTGATGACGTATTTCACTGCCATATTTTATACAAATTTCTGAGTTGTATACTCTAAGAAAGATTTCGTGTGTTCATAGCATTTAAATATTACTTCTCAAGAACAGAAACGCTTCTATTTTGAATACTACTGATTGTTCTCTTGTTAATGGTAGACTCAGCTTTCTTCATTTTTAAGCTCGAGCTCTCCACATAGAAATAAAAGAAAGCTTTTTTTGAAACAATATTGTTGGTCCTAAAAAAACTGTTGCTAAGAGCTTTTTCTCCATTTAATGGAATACAATTCAAAATTCACGTTTTAAAATCAGTGGTGAACTCAGAAAGGGGTACTAAAGACAATCATCCATGGGTTCTGAATTATTTTTCAATTTATGCTAACAGCAAATGCTCAAAAATGAATCGATACGACTTCTAATTTGGCTTGAAAACAATAATAGTCTCCATTCATCAAAATCTTTGATCCGGTACTGTTTTAAATCTAAATTAAAAAGTACATGGAGAAGTTTGTTGTCTCTTTATTATCTTCGTTATTAATTTATATCTAATTCTTATTAGTAAATTTTTCGAAAATCTAACTTTCAACAAAAAGGTTAATGTTTTCATGAGAACTAATTAGCTGTCCAGTTTTTATTTGAATGTCGATTTCAAGCTTCATATATGATAACATAATTGAATATCAATTTATCACGAAATATTTGATTTATTAACTATGACGATTTCGAATATCAGTATGAAAAAGGTCGGTAGAATTCTCCTGACGTGTTTTTCAATTCAATAAAATTTTTAAAACAACTATCTTTCTTATCAAAATACTTTTAATTTAAAACTATTTTAAAGTGTTATTACATATTGCCAAACATTGAAAAACTGCGTAATATACAGTGAGTTTTTCATACTATAAGATACCATCATAATTAAGTGGCTCTGATTATCGGCTATAAATCAAAGAGATAATCATTCTTCCAACTTAGAGAGTAGATGCGACAGATTTACTTGCAACGTTCGAATAGTGTTAAATTATACTCTTCATCCATGTTTTTCTGCAAGCTATCAATAAGAGATAAACTCACAAGGGCTACAATTATTAAAAAAAACATCTTAAAAACAAAGAGACGTTTCGCCCTAAAAGTAATTATTCGTTTACCGACAACTCGAAATGTTCTGCAATATACAAACATATCATTTTTTTTTTTCATTTTGAAAATCAACATCATACAGAACCATCTGGAAATATCTTTACATTACTCTTATGATGATATTCAAAACAAAAAAAAACAAGTTATGTAACAATCGCAAAGTTTTCTTGATTAAATTTTCGCTTGAATTAGTTTCTTGGTTTTAAGAAATAATTAAATATCGCTTATTTGTTTTAATGACAAAATTAATACACCTAATATGAGAACAAATAAAGAGAAAATAAAATATTTAGACAAAAGTGATATGTTGTGCATGAACATGATGATAATGTGTTTCATTACGTTGATTATTATCATGTCCATCAAGTTTATATCGAACATTACTTAATTTTTTCCATGGATTTTCTGCTGCTATAACTAAATTTGATGATACTGGTTTAAATGGCGAATGTTGAAGATGATTTGATGCTATACGTTGTTTAGATATTGATAAAAACTCTGTTGTTTCATCATCATGTGTACATGAATGTTGATATTGTTGATGTCGTTCAGCATCGGTACATGCACCATTTAAAATTGAACTACCACCAATTACACTACTTGTTTGAATTGCTTCATCATTTAAATTCAAAGCTGAACTATCAGATTTTGAAGTATATAATGAAACTTCAGTTGTATAATCTGTTGACGTATGCCGCCGACGACGATTAGCAGCTGCCGCTAATTCATCAAGATTATTACTTGTACTTGGACGTTCAAGTGAGGGTTGTGGAGTTGATAATGTTGTTTTAAATTTCACATGTATATTTTTGGACGGATTAAAAAGAACAATATATAATTTAGGTGCAAATAAACATAAAAGTATAACAGTAGCTGATAAACTAAGGCAAATAGCAAGACTAACCAATTGAATCTAATTAATGAAAATAAAATTATTAAAAATTTCGTTTTTTATACGAAGGTTTTTTCTTAACTTACACGAAACCAGTTTTCACTACTTCTTAAACCAAAAAATATCGGTACAAATGCCAACCAAATAATACATATAGAATACATAGCAAAACCAATATGTTTAGCTTCATTAAAATTTTCTGGTATATGTCGTGTTTTAATTGCATATAATGTACATGATATAACAAGTATCATATTATAAATTAATGAACAAGCTATATATTCATTATCGGTTTGACAAACTAATATTAAACGTTTTTGATTATGTTTTAATTCAGGTTTTAATTTAATTGCTGGTGGTGATATAATTATCCATAGAATAACACCTATTAATTGTACACTAACAATTCCACCACATATACCTAATTGTGAACGTGGTGAAAGACATGATGGTTGTGTTAAACGTTGACTATTATTAAATATTCGTGCTAAACGATTTGTTTTTGTTAAAAGTGCAGCTAAACATATAGTTAAACTTAAACTAACACCAATACGTATAAATAAACATGTTAATAAATGTGGTTTAAGTATAAGTGGCCATGCACATAAATGACAACAACATATACCAGATAATAAAAAATAACTTAATTCACGTGATGATGCTTTTATAATTGGTGTTTGAGCAAAACGTATAAAAATCACAATTGTATATATTGTCATTAAAATACCAATTGATGAAAGTATTAATGCTGGCCATGCTATTATATTTTGTATTGATAGATATTCTTCGGCAATAGGTATACATTTAGAAAAATTTGAATTTGGTATTTCTTTTTGTGAACATGGTAAACATATTGTTTCATTAACGGCTATATGAAATAATTCACATGAACGACATGTCCAACAACATTGTTGAGAATCTGTATTTGTACGTATTTCACCTGAATGACAAGATTTACTACAAAACGATCGAGGTGTTGTCCCTGTTTCAGACCATTGGAATGATTCACGATCATATTTAAACCATTTTAATGATTGAAGATCAATACGAACTCTATTTATTAAAGAAAAATATAGTATAAAGATAATTTTATTATTTGCTTATATATAAAGAACAATAAAACGTTTAAATCAAGATTCAATAGAACAACAACAAAAAATGATGACGAAATTCTAAAAAAGAAAGTTTGAAGTTTTGCACATGTTAACTTAAAATTTTTATTCATATATGAATAACATGAAACGTGTCGTGCTCTGTCTGTTAATTATTCATTCAGTTTTATTTTGCACATGCACCTAAATACAACCAATTTAATTGAGCATAATAAGCTTATATATCTTCCAATGTCTTTTCTTTTTTATTCGTTCAGAACATGCCAAGAGATTGAGATCAAAAGAATTGAAGGAACCTGAATCTCTAGATCTGATTGTTTTGAGTTTTGACAATATGTATTACTAATTCGAACGAAATTGAAAAAATAGTAATTATTCTTTGATGCAGCAAAACTAACCCAATGTGTTGAAGAATGGAATCGAAACACGTTTATAACATGTGTCGCACTTTAATGTGTTGTACATTATGTTACGCAGTACGACACATGGGACATATGTTATTTTAGTGTAATATTAAAAGCTTAAATTGTTTCTTTTTTTTTTCAATACTTGATCAATCTCGAGAGAAATTATTTGTTCATTGTTTCGTGTGTATTTAAATAACAACGGATATTTTTCTTTTATGATAGACTGAACTCATAATGATATTTAGAGACTGATCGAAAAGTGCAAAGAAAAAAAAGTCAAGTTTGTTGTATTAAATGAAAATTTTATGTTAAGAAGTTTAAATATTCGTTTCAGAAAGGATATAACTTCAAATTCGTTTATAGTTTTCTCAAATATTTCAATCAAATACATCACTATAGTCTTTTTTTCCGTATGTTTATTCAAAATCTTTATTTTTAACTTTTATGTATAAGAATATGGTATACAAGTTTTTGAGAAGAACAAACACGTTTTTTTTTTGTTTGATGAATCAATTACTTAACGGATCGATTTTTATCTGCTTCAATGAGTACTAATTAGCTTTACATTAGGACGTAGAAGTCATGTTTCTATAATCATGCAATTTTGAGATATAATAAGATTCATTCCAAGGTAAAGGACAACTTTTATTAGATTTGAATATTAGCATGCAATGTGAATGAGTATAGCTGTTAATGAAATATTTTACAGGTATATTCATTAGTATCTTGATGAAGAAATAATTCACTCAATGTAACGAACTAGAAATGTTCGGAAGAAGTTTTTTTCTAAGAACATTCAAGACTAACGTTGGAATGTTATAGTATCGTTTGTTCGCTTAAAAGAACAAAATCTAAAAATAAAAAACTTTAACTTAAGCATTCTATTGATGGATATTTTAGCTTTGTAAGAAATATAATTATCGTTTTTATGTTAAAAGCTCGTTTTAAAAAAACAAATCCGGAGATTAACTATCGTTGTTAGAAAGTAAATGTAAACTATTCTTTTTCCTACTAATTACAGCTTTATGCTACGATCTTCATAATTGCATGTTTTCAAACACACTATGTCAATGATTATCTTTTCTTGACTGATAATATTCTCCTTAAATGCAAGTAAAATATTCTATAGAGAATTTCCAAACGATAATATCGTCTTACAAAATATATACAATCAGTTATTAATCAATGGCAAGATTGTCATGATAATACTATTCTTTACCTTTCATTACTTTGATCACTATCACTAAATTCACCAACAGTAAAATAATCAAGTGTATCAGTTGAATTAATAATTTGATATTGAAATATATCATAAGTTCCAATACCATCACCGTCTTTTGTAAATTTAATAATACGTTTTGATAATTCTAAAAAATAATCAAAATATATAAATAAAAACTATTTTCCTTTTATTCGGAATTGCCTAACCATTACGAAAAGTAATATTACGTAAAATTGAAATTAATTTGGTTCCATCAAATGGGAAAAATTCTTTACATAATGGTTTAATTGTGGAAGAATTTGGACATTTTTCATCAATTAATTTTTGTATAGAAATTACAAGTGTGAATACAGCATCAACAACATAATGAACATAACCTTCTTGAAAATACGGTACAGATAAATTCGTATATGTACTATCAATATCTAAATAAACATTAAAATATTTATTTATTTAGCAAGAAAAAAAAGAAAGCAAAAACAAAATGAAAACCTGAACATAAACGTGTATAATTTTGATTAAATATAGTTTTTGGTGTTTCTTCAAATTTACATTTATATGTTTCTTCCCAATACTCTTGAAACCATGGATTTCGAGTATTTTTCGATGGCTTTAAACTATTAAAATAATCATCAAATTCTACAAAACAAAGATTATCATCATAGAAAAGAATTTTTTTGTTTACCTGAAATTAAATATAATTTCGGAGCTATTGTTATTGCATTAATAGCAGCACGTCCAAAATTTTCTACTGGATACCATTTTTTTCCCCAACCATCCGTACCAAGAAAAACCCATCGACCATTTAATGCTTTCTGTGATGATGTTTGATTGAGTATTTGCCTATATACATATACATTTCAATATTTTAAATAAATATTTTTCTGTTGTTGTATTACCTAACCGAATCTTCTTGTGCAAAAACAATAACACCAACAACAAAACGATATTTTTCATCGTCATATAATTCTTTTATAACACGTACATAAGAATGTGAATCTTTTATATTAACCGATAATTCACCAGCAATACAAATTGCTTTTTAAAAAAGGAAAACATTATTTATTTATATGTTTTTTAATGGTTTTGTATTAAATAGAAAAGAAGAACGAGAAGAAGAAGAAAAAGATCTACTTTTATTCTTTAGTTTTGCTTTAAAATCATCTGTTAAACGTTCACCATAGGAACCAGTTTCTTTAATAACAGCAACATAAGTCCAATTGAGAAATTGGATAATACTGACCACCTAGAGTGCATAAATGAAAGACAATAAAGTGAAGGATATGCATGAATGAAAACAGAAAAACTAATGTTAATGGATTTATAAATACTGACAGCTTCTGCTTGATATGTATCGGGCGGAACAACGCGTGAAAAATATTGAAAACGTGGTTTTTGACTTAATTCCGTGCTTGTTGACGCATAGGATATTTGCGGAATCTGTTGAATACAAAAAAAAACATAATCATCAATTAAACCAGAAATAAAAAAACAAAGTTTATTTTTTTTTAAATGTTACCACCGGAAAATACATGGATATCTTTTAAAACACGGAACCGTCATTGTCATTATTATTCCAATTAAATTGTCACGTTTCTTTTTTTTTTCTCTTTTTTTCTTTACACGAGAGTTTCTCAAGCTAAAACTTATTTCAAAAATACCTCAGCTAGACGAAGAATATCTGCAATTGCCATTGAAACAATACTTGATGCACTACCAATAACACCAGCAATCAATGATAATGAATGATTTTGTTTAGGTGATGACATACATTGATTAAGTGATGGCAATAACATATTAAGTGCACGTTCAACTGCATAAGATTCATAATCACATGAATCATATATTAATGCACCAAAACGTATGTTATATTTGTTAAGCATCGAAGACATTAAATAAGATGATCGGTTATTAATAACATCTAATGCAAATAACATTGCTTCAAGACGTTGAATACCACGTTCACGTTTAATAGCTGTACACTGATTAGAACCATATTCATTTGATGGTGGTTGATGAATAGGAAAAAAACCACCAAGTAAAATATCACCTAAATTTCTTTGTTTTTTTAATGAAAAAAAATCTTTGACTATTTTTTATGTGTCTACCTGGTATATAGATATAATCATAAGATGGACTATGTGCAGCACGAAATTCTGGTGGATAATAACGATGAATATGTGTTCGACTATTATCATCCTGATCACAATTGCTATTGTTAGTTAGAAATGCAATCAATATAAGGATGATTAATAACAGCACGATACGTGACAATGACACGATGAGCATCGACGATTGACAACTCGCGTACGCATATATTCACACACATATGCCGTTGATCTGTCTCTCTAACTCTCTCACTCCGTCTCTTTCACTCCCGTAGTATTCTTCACCAAGCCAGTTAGAAACTCAAATGAGTTCTTTAAAGAAAATATTCGGGAAAAAAAATCGTTCGAGCATTTACGATGAGACGCATATTGGTTGTCAAAAAAAATAGAATTGAGTAAACTTGTCGACGCTAGACAGGCAAACGAGCGGCAATGATGATAATAAGAGACGGCGATCGACTTTCTCTCTCGCTCTCTCTTTCTTCTCTCAACTGTCTCTTTCTCTCGTCTCCTCCTCCTCCTCCTTCTCTTTCTCTGCCGTTATTATCGAGCTTGAACACAACAATCACCCTCGCTTGGCCGCTCACGTAGATATATGAGAAAAGAGAAGTAGACGAAAAAGAGCAAGCAAACAGCAAAGAAGAAAGAGAAAAAGAAAAAAAAAGGAAAAAAGTGAGAAATTCCAAAAGAATAACACGATCTCTTTACTTTTGTCTGTGCTCTGTTATTGGTAAGCAAACGAGATACTCAAGTAACTCATCCTCACTAATTATGCTTGCATTACCATCAAAAATAATAGCCGCCTTTTTTGTTTTTTTGGTGTGTAATTTAGCGATCATATTGTAGTTTGTAATCGTTATCAGACAGGTGCAATTTTCCCATATTTAACATAATAACTCATTTCAATTTTTCGAGGTCTTGTTTTTTTTTTAACGTACTATAAATATTAAAGTTCATATTAATAACTTTTCATTCTTATCTTGTTCAAGTGTCGTTTTTAATAAAAAGAAAAAGAACAACTTGTTAATTGTATAATCTTATGTTAATAGAAGAGTTGTTTACTGCAAAACAGAATGAAAAATCTTATTTGCTATTCTCAGATTTTTTTTTTCAATAAACTAATTAATTATGGAAATTGGATATTAAATGAACGGATTCAAAGGAAATATATGAACAGAAAGAAAAATCCGAAACATAAATTTCTTTTTTTAAAGTTTTCTATTGAAGATAGATGATTACTAGAAATGAATAAAACCATGAAACGGAAAACATTTCAGGATGTAAGAGGATAGATAAGAGTATGTGTTTGTTGTCAGGGTCAACAAGAATCTTTTGTTTTCTTCTTTTTTTTGGGGGGTATGAAAGAAATTTTCGATGGGTATACAGGCATTCTAAGTGATTTCGAGTAGTCTATTCAATAAATGGTAGAACTGAGTGTTTGAATTAAAATGCACTACAAGAAGTTTCTCTTTTTTTTTTCTTTGATCGAACGATATTTTCGAGAAATAATGGAAAACATATATATATATATGCGTGTCTGTCATGACAAAAAAGAAAGAAAAGTAGGATAAGATATTTTTTCTTTTTTGTTTCATAAAAGAAGTATTTGTATAACGGACATTGAGAATAGTTGTTTGAACAATGATCAAAAAAAATTGATTATGAACACGAGTTTGATTGCATCGTTAGTTTTGAAGATGATTGTATTCGGGTTATTTATTAGTTTCACAAATAAAGTGTTTTTCTGTTCGGTTTAGTCAGATTGAATGAGTATAAATCATTTGTTTTGTTTGTCTTATATAACAAGTGGTTTAAGTTTATTTAAAATTATATATTTGCTTACAACAGAAATACTTCTCATGTACCTGTTGTTAATAAAGAAATAATGGTTTTTTTTCTTCAAACGACTCAACACTTCATTAGAGATGATTGGATTGAATATTAATAGATACTTATATCACACGACTATGAAATGTTCTTCTATAAAATTAAGAGTATCGCAAGACAAATGTGAGTTGAAGAATTTGAGACAAATGCATTTGACAATGAAATATTGTTTACTTCATATAGAAGTTTTGCATTAATAAAAAATGTGTATGCTTACGTTACCATAATCTAACCATTTTCTTTCCTGTTTGCCTTCATTTATGGCTACAACAAATGACTTGGAAAGCAATAAGTTTTCAATCTTGCAGGTTTTCAAGTTCTGTTCTTTTTTAATCATACGATTATAGGAATTCTCTTTTGTATGCACATAACAATTCAGCTTTTAACTGGACAACTCTATTTTTTTGCAAATGTTTAGCAACTAATGACAATGATAGTGCACATGACTAAAGGTTTTAGGAAAGAAAAACATCCTGAAACTAGAAGTAGTACTGTTATAAAATGAAAAAACAAGTCAGAAACATAAAACTACAAAGAAAAACAAAATACGAACATATCTACTTTGATGTTTGAAGTAGACTCACAAGTATTATTAATAGTGTATGGAAGCTAACGTCTAGTTTTTCTTGCATGAAATTATCTCATCCGGTCTTTGATTCTCTCTCTTAAAATAAACTTCGAATAGAATCATTATTATATAACAGGAAGAGTTTGAAAATAAAAATTTACAAATTGTTTTTCATGGAAAAAAAAACAATATTTTTTTGCAATATCTATATTTTCATATTCAGAAAATTCAAACTATTTCAAAGAATGCACTCTTAAAAGAAAGATAAATGAGCTAACAAAAGATCTTTTATTAAAACAGAGCAATGTTTTTTTTAGAAAGTGCTCAACAATCCTGTTTTTTCTTTGTATTCAAGTATGCATTTATCGTTGATATAAATATTTGATCACTTGCATATTTCTACCTATCATTGTTTTGACAATATATATGCACATTTTTCTATATATTTCCTTTCTCCAATTTAACAGTGGAAATTTCTGGAATACATAAATTTATGTAATGGAAAGCAATCGAGATTGGTTTTGAATTCTAAGAAAAAATATCAATACTTAGTAGATGCAAATTGTTCTCAAAAGTTGAAAATCATTTTTTCTTAATAATTGTAGTCTTTTCTCTAACGATCGTCGGCTCCTACTGAAAAATCTGTAGGATGTTACTTTTGCGATATTTATTATTTTTTCTCATCTGTTCTTATTTTTCTTTATGACATCGAGTCATTGAAAAGAATATTTGAGCAATTCTGTTCTTGTTCCTATATCTTGATTTGCATAGTCACTAAAACAAAAAGATAACACTTTTTGACTTCCACTAATACATAACCTCGATCATACCCAGCTAAACTACTTTTAACAAAAAATAGTTTACTATATTCTGTCCTTTGTGTCAAATTATAATTGTTTCGCTTTCGCAATCCATGGTAGTTCTTCACACTTACTATAAACACAAGTCAATGAACAAAAGAGAAACGAATCTCATTCTGCAGAGAATTTAATTTGACTAACTAGGCTTAGTAACGATTATGGTCGTACTAATCTTCATCATAGCCATAAACATAAGCTAAGATTCTATTTTTCTTCTTATTGAAATATTTTTCCTTTGAATTCGTCATGTAAATAATAAATGTAATGCTTTCTTTTATTAACGTCAATAGAGACATACTATAAGACAAAGTATTACTTACACAAAAGAAATCTAATCATGTACATACATTAACTATATAGAGCTAGAATTCCTAAAGATCTGGTGTATGACGAAGACGATAGGAATAATTTCGAATGAAACTGACTTCATAATGTTCATCAGTGACAAATAACTATACAACATGACAGATATATTGAAGAAAATAAACTTAAAAATAATTTCTTTGAGTTTTTTTTCATATGCGAACATTCATATATTGATAAATTGAAACGAGACGTTCATTCGATTCAATGAAAGTTATTTATTTATGGATAATTTATTGAAAAATGAAAACATTTTATTTCTTTGAATAATTGACGAAAAGAAAACAACAAAAATCCATTATTGATTGACTTTTAATTAAAAATTTGTGAATGACTATCCCAAATTTCAGTCACGATCACGATTAAAAAAATTTATAAAACATTGTAATCATCACGAAAGTCCCACAGGTCATGTTGATCTATGATAAAGAAACAATATTCTAAAGTTCAAGATAATGATATAGATTACTATTTCTCATTATAAGTATAGAGTACAATATCAAAGTCACCAATCATTGACAAAGAAAATAATTCTATTATCTTGCTTTTACTATATAAATTAACAAGTATGGAAAAACTTCTAGATGATATCTGAATATGTGTTTTTTTTTCAATGGTTATAAGTCTTACAGACAAACAACAAAATCTAATAACACAATAATTAGATTTATGTGTGTCATTTTATTTTGTTATAGAATACTTCTGATCTATTGTATATGAGTATTAATAATGAAGAAGATTTTATTTCAATAATTTTTATATCTTCTTATTCATTTTGAATGATATTTTAATGTCATTTGCCTTTTTTTCAATAATTCTATATGTCATGAAAAGAATACTAGAAAAACTCGATTTTTTCAATATTCATAACTTCTTGTATTTTGTATGATTTTAAAAATTTATACAATTAAATTTAAGTAAGAGATAAAAAAAATTCTTTAAAAATTTTTTGTTTTATTTCTGAAAAGTATAGTGTAAAATATTTTATTAATCATAAAAAATTAATTTGATAGTGCAAGAAAAAAAAATTTATGTTATTCGTATATTATCAGAAGACACATAATACCAAAGAAGTTCAGAGTTTCCTGGAAAATTTTCGAGACAACTAACAGTAATCCCTTGATAAATTTTTATACTTTACTCTATCAAATGAATATAATTCAAAGCTGATAGATTCAACTTAGCTTCATTTCACATCACTACACATATGGATAAACTCAATGAAGTACGAAGATGCACTTATTAAACACATGACCGTTAGCTCTTAATCTTACATAATCTTAATCCATCGATAAACTAATCATAAACAGACAGTATTTTACCATGATTTGTAAATATTAACTGATTAATATGCCGTATTACAATCATATTTATGACATCACATGAACCTAGAGTATCTTTTATATTTAAGTATTATTGAACAAAATGGTCACATAGTCAATCTCAAAGTACTACGACTATGATTGAACAACTAATATCTATAGATAACATAGAAAAGAAAAC